CTAAAGACACACATAAAACTGAATACTTTTTAGTGTGTTTTGATTACTTAAAATATATTAAAATTAAAAAAAAAAAAAAAGAAAAGAAAAGAAAACAGGGCAGAAGCAACAAAACACCTCATCCTTTGCATACACTTTTAATGAAACCAGTATCTCATCCTGGTTGTTTTCTTATGTTGTTTTTGAAAAATGGAAATAATTCCTGCTAACAGGCACAACTGAAAATTAACTGTTCAAGCTCAAATGTTTTCTAAGTGTGCCAAGAACAGACCATAAAATGGGAAAAAAAGAAAGAGCACTAATTACTTTATTTGTCTCCTAAAACTAAACTAACAAGTAAAAGCCTTTAAAGAACACCGGTCAGAAATAGTGATATCAAAGGGAAATACTTCTGATAATCCTGTATTCATTTGCAATGATTTATTCCATATTTTATTGCACAATTTATAAAAGAGAATTGCAGCAATCGGAGCCCTTGCACTGCTACAAGAGATTAAAAGATTTTCTTATCAGACAGCTCAGAATTGTGATGATTCACACCTTCATTATTTCTTGAAACACTCCAGCTTCCTCCAGAAGGTACAGCAAAGGTTTTGCATGACTACATCCCTTAAACTAAACAGTGCCCGTGCCATTTTCCCACGGTGCTCAGAACAAGCTAGGGGTGAAAGAGTAACCCTTTTAAGCCAGTTAAACAACCGTCATTATTTTAAAATAAATGAAGAGGAGCCGAGTTATTTACGACTCTGTGCTCATGTTTTATGCATGCCTTACCTCGGGGACATTCGATAGTCCCCCACAACAACTTTGTGGGCTCTCATCTTCAGCAAGTGTTGGCCAAGAAGGTCACATTGGCCCATTCACAGGGAGAAAGGTGAGATTTGGAGACGCGGTAAAATAACAGGACAAATGGGAAGACACTGGAAAATTATTTTTCCTGCCAGGGTTTGCACACAAGTATAAAACCTGGGTCAGGGAGAACCCTTTGAGTCAAAAGTGAGTGCCAGTAATTCTCACCGCCAGGTTAAATCAAGGATACGCCCAGCCTTGCCGTGCAGGGAGGACAGCCAGAAGAATGAGCTACTTGCAAGGAATTTCTTGAAATCAGCAAAGATTTAGCATGGAGCAGACTGGCCTTCAGGGTCTGCAAAAAAAAGGGAAACTCAGACCCAGAGAGTAAGCCCCTGAAACTGTGAGGGGTGGTCCAGGGGAGACCTTTCTGTTTTGCTAACAGGTTTCTGGAGAACAAGAGACCTGAGCAGCAGAGCTTGAGAACAAGCTGTATTCAAATATCTTGTTCTTCACAACTGCTCCACAGCATCCTCATGTGAAATTATATTTTGTTTCTGTAACAGGTAGATATTTCTCCAGATGTGGCTTTTACCAGGAACATCAGTTTTGCTTTGGTAAAACCAGGGGAGGACACCCATTACCTTGCAAAGAGTGATGAGGGGCTGTGGTCCAAGTCCTGACTTAAGAATTGTGTGTTTTAACCCCACATTGCCCCCATTATCAACCTCCAATATGACCCCAAGGAAGTCAAAAAACACCTCTTTTCTTTTGTGATCTCTCCCACTGAAAATACTGAGAAGAATTTAAGCTGGATAGTGGCAGCCACACTGGAGATTCCAGCCTGATGCCCAGACTCAGGGCTGACATGCTTTCCCCTGCACATAGTGCTGCAGCAGGAAGGGTGAAAGGTCTCCCTACACCCTCCAACACACAGACATGTTCTGTTCAGAAGGCTGCAGCTCTGTTTTGAACACAAAATGTGCCAAATTACACATAAATTTGTGTCCATTGGTATTTCTGTTGTAATCTCATTGATTTGTGTGGCTTAGGAGACTTGGAATGAAGCAAAACAAAAACACATCTCTGTATCACCTTCTACCCTGAGAACCCCCAAAAAAGTTACTTCAGTAACTTTCCAAACTCCATTTCAGTGCCTTCCAAAAATGCCATTTAAAGTTTCTTTTTAACTGTGAGTTTCATGGGTGAGATGTTTAATAGAATGTGACCCCCCCTAGCTCATTTAGCTTTGTAGACAGTTTATTGTGCTTGAGTCTCTCATCCATTCATGCACTTGTATTACCTCATAAAGGTATTTTTTAGAAATAAAACATGAATAGGGAGATTTTTTTTCCCCTCAACTTTAGTGATTAGCTGGAGATTAGAATTCAATTGAACAGTTTAGTTAAATATGGGTTTGTGTGTGTTGATATGGCTCCCCATTGTCACTGCAGGTATGAGAGGTTTGGCAGTTTCCCAGCTTGGCTCTCCAGTGGGGGTTCATAGCAGTGCAAAAAGAAGTATCCCACCTTTCAGTAAAATAAAATGAAATGCTTCTCAGAAAATGCTTATTGAAATCTTGCCAGTTTTAAGAGAGAGACATTTGCATGAAACTTATTGTTTGTTCCAAAGCTTCACTTTTTTTTTTTTTTTTTTTGACAGAAATGTCTGGTTTTACTTGATTATATATATGCATATATAGTTGGGGTTTGTTCCCCCTTCAAGCTAGCTCTGAGGAAACAATATTAGAAGAAGAAATAATTAGGGGAGCCAACAGTCAGCTGCTTGCTCTGAAGAATATTGGGCAGATGACAAACCCACTACAACATTTGGCACACTATTTATGGGCAGGAAATTTTAACAGAGATATGAGAAATGACACTCTGCAAATCATGCTGAAGTTCTATGAAAGTTTTTTCCTGCTGAAGGAAAACTGAAGGACCGTAATGACAGACAGACAAAAATGAACTTCTGTGCTTTCTCCTTGTCATGATAGTAATTCATAGTTCTCTTAGTGTGAGATATCTCTTTTTCTGAGCAGTGACAACATTTATAAATGGTACTCTAAATGAGAAAGATCTTTGGAATAATCTGTTCCAGGTTAGGCTATCATTACCAATAAAATACTTCTGATTTGCACAAAACATGTAATTTGAGAGGTTTTTTTCCCCTGTTGATGTAACTCCTTTGCTCTTTTAATTCTCAAAACCACAAAAAATGCTCTCAGAAATATTCCCAGCTGCTCAGGTCATGCTCAGCTGTGCTGATACCAGTTTACAGAGAACACATTTAGCACATTAAGTCTTGATTACATGGCAAAATTGGAGAGCCAAACAAACATCTACTCATGCATTAGGGAACTGCACAGCTACAGTAAGTCCTGAGGCACAACAGTGGAAGTTCCAATTGCTAACTATATAAAGTAGAGGCAAAAAAACCCCAAATATCCCTCTGTGTCCCCCAGAGAGCAACCAGCACTTGGTGCAGATGGGTGGTGCAGTCACTGCAGCTGAGGGATGGCACTGTGACCCTTCTCCATCCTCTGCCACAGCTCTGCTCTGCCCCTGGAAGCCTGCCCTTGAGCTGAGGAAAGCAGGAGCAGAAAAGACATCTCCATGTCATTAATCCCAGGCCAGACTCTGGAGGCATGTGATGAAGGCAATGCAGATGCACCTATAGAGCTCTGCAGCACAGCCAAAGATAGGGATCACAGCTGGGGTTATGTTACCAACTCTGCACCAAGAGATCCTTCCTGCCAACATCCAAGCCATGGCAAGGAAGAGCAGTGATGCACGTTCAGCTCTGTGTGCCACCAGAACCCTGACTTCACACTCTCATCTCCTCTCTGACCTGACTAACCTAGCAAGTGACAGCCTTGTTATAAATATCCAAGAATCATGAGGTGGTCACTTTCCCACTGTCACAGCTAATTAACTTCTAGGAATAACTATGGGAACTATTTCATTTCACCATCCCAAACATGGGTCTGGAGTGAGTGTGTGTATCTGACTGAATTGGCTCAGAAAAAAACACCCTTCTGTTAAACATCAGGGCAGGTATAAAATACTGTGGGTATGTGCCACATATTCAAGCCTCTGCAATTTGCTAGAAGCAGGCACCAAGATTTACAACACAATTTTCAATCACTTCCATCACTATTTTCAATCTCTTGCATATGGTGGTACTTGTGGGCAGAGGAGATATCAAAGAGTTCATCTGTGTAAAAACCTCAAAAAGTGACTGTGTTCCTAAAAAAAAAAGTGTATATAAACTGTCATTTCAGTTTAGAAAAATCCAGGCATAACCTCATAATTAGGAACAGCTAAATTGCTTACTCTTTAGTCAATGGCACAAGGAGAAATTTATTTTGTTTAATAAACTGCTCTTAATGATTACTGTTTGTTTGCTTCCTAAAGCTCAGAGTAATCACGTACTGCAAGTGGAGAATGCTGGTGAGGATGTTTGTCTCCTGAGCTTAAATGACAAGAAAATCTCTTCAGTTTTCCAGTTTGAGGGAAGCTTTTCTCCATAGCCCCTCACCATTGATCTGAGAGCCTCCTGCCAGCTCCTGGTCAAAAAGGGGGGACCTTGACTTATGGGTGTGGAGGGCTGCCAAGAACATGAAACCAGCACCTATATCTCAGGGACACCAGAAAGCTGTAAACTGGCTGGATACAGAGCAGCAATTGTTTCATAATAATTGTCTACCATACCTGCATCCTGTTCCTGTTCCAGGAGTTTACAATGGATCAGTGTACCCAAAGTGTTTGTACCCAGATGAACCTGGGGCAACCCAGTTCAAAAGATTTTTTTTT